GCTTTTTTTTAAAGAAAAAATAGAACAAACTTTATTTCTTACTGTTGGTAACATCTGCAGTCTTGAAAACTTCACACATTCTCAGCTCCCATACCACTCAAGAGATTAGCAAGGGATGGACTGCATTCTTCCAAAGATAAAATAACAGCTTTTGCATTTTTCCTAGTTCTCAATCAATCTACATCAGAAGTACAACCTTGCCAATCAATAGCTGGATCCAGCATGACAAACAACCAGTGGTTAAACACAAAGCATTTGTGAGTGCCAGCCCACTTTTTCAAATACAGAAGAAATGGGATGGAGCACTCAAAAGCTTATAACACATAACATGACTGTAAGGTGCCACAAGTTTTGCTGCAAACAGACTAACACAGCTGTCTCCCTGAAAACACTTAAAGCAAATTATGCTTTGCCCAATTTTCTAAAAGAACATGCCAATATTTGTAGAACGTATGACAGTGGAGATTGAAAGCAAGCCCAATAAAGGGGGAAATCAGAAATGTTTTTCTATTTATTGGAAACCCTATGAATTCTCCTTAGGTTAAACAGGATACCAAAGATAAATGATAAACCAGAATAAAAGCAGCAATGTTATCATATCCAAAATAGAATAATCCACTCTCACTAGTTCCAATAAAAATCCTTGAAGAAAAATAAAATTTCTACTGTCTATCTGATCAGAAATGGAACCAATTATTTATCTTCTGGGAGGGAATCCCACACGCCCAATAACCTAACTTATTTTGTGATGGGACATACAGCAGAAACTTAGAATAAAAATTTAATGTACACCAAAGTTTATACAGGCAGCGGTAGTTTTAGGGTTATCCAATCTTGAAGCTGTTCAGGGCCTTATTAACTACCATCAGCCCTTGAACAAGAACTGGAAACAAAGTGGAAGCCAATGCAATTAAGAATATGACCTGCGTAAGGTGGTCCATAAAACTCACACCAGAAAGCAATTTGAATAAAGCATATTGCATCAGCTGCAATTTCCAAACACTCTTCAATGGTTGCCTGGGGGGGGGGAGGAGAAGGGGGTAGGAGAGGAAGAAGATGAAAGAAGGGAGGTGTGAAGAAGCCCAGTGCAAAATAGTAGCGGCCTTCAGTAGGCTAATAGATGCTTTAAGCTTTCTGCAAACCAGTTGGTCTCCATAGCATTTGCATTAAGAAGCTGACTACACCACAACATCCCTCTTTAGAGCTGCCATATCCAAAATCACAGCAGTCATGATGCTGTTCAGCCTCCAGTAAGAAAGAAACAAGGAGAAGGAGAAGAACAGGTAATGCACTTAAATTACAGGAAGATGGATTCTGATTAACTTATCAGAAAGAAAGAAAATTAATTGGCGGGCAGTGAAACAAGCCTACCACAGAAGTTGTTTTATCCATTCATTAGAGGTTTCTAAACACACGTTAGGTAAACCTCTGCTATGTGTCAGAACTATTTAAGTGTTATTAGGTTGGGTTTTTTTCCAAAAGCCAGGAGACACACCAATAATTTTTTTTCCTAAGATACCTTTCAACCTGACAGCGCTTCAAAGAAGGATTAAGACATTAGACCCTGGGGGACAAACTAGGGCAGAGACTCATAACTCTGCCATTATACATTTTACTCGTGATGATCATGCTGCTCCAAAGAATATTCCATGAAGTTAATATGGTAAATTAAGACCAGTATTTCCTAAAATGGATGAGATAGCTCTGCTAGGCCATCCATGTCTGCATTATGAAAGAGAGTGTACTGTTGTGTTGCAGCTCTTGGGGCATAGCAGAATTTGTTCATTCAAGTACAGTGGTGCCTCGCTAGACAGTTACCCCGTATGACAGTTTTTTCACTAGACATAGGCTTTTTGCGATCGCTATAGCAATTCGCAAAACAGTGATTCCTATGGGGGAATTTCGCTGGACAATGTTTGGTCCCTGCTTCGCAAACTGATTTTCGCTAGACGACGATTTTGACAGCTCTCTCTGCTCTCGCAAACAGGTGTTTTTGGGACCTAAGCTTCGCAAGACAGTGATTTAAACAGCTGATTGGCGGTTCGCAAAGCGGCTTTCCTATGGCCGATCTTCGCTAGACAACGACGATTCTTCCCCATTGGAACACATCAAACAGGTTTCAATGCATTCCAGTGGGGAAATGCTTTTCGCTGGACAATAATTTCGCTAAACAGCGATTTCAGTGGAACGGATTATCATCATCTAGCGAGGCACCACTGTATTTATTCCATGAGCTGCCAGCTGAGCAGCTACCAATCCAATTCTCCCAAAGCTCCAGCTTCCCCACTTCTGTGTCATGGGGAAGGGGTAACAGCAGACTACTTCACAGAGTCATCATAGGAACTATCAAGATAAATGTTACGGAAGCTGTTGTATCTACATGGCATGGCTCCACATTCAAAAGCAAGTATTGCAACGCCAACATCTCATTCTTTCCAATTATCTCTCAACAATCCATTACCTCTCCAAAATGAGGCGAAGACTGATTTGGGTAGATATTAATCAAACAGACCACTGACCAGCCATACCTTGCTATTGAGTGCTACTGTACATTCACCAGACAAGGTGCATAATGATCAATTTCCTGGTAGATACCACATATAGAAAATTTAAAAGGCTCCATTAATGCCAGCTGCAGACTTGCCAAGTTGCTGTGATAGGCTCCCAACGCATTGCTCCAAAATAAGGCACTGTGTCCTATGCAGCTATTCCTTCCACAGCCTGAAGTAGGTGGGCATCAATTATTTTGAGTGCTTCTGGTGGCTTCTCCTTACTACAGTTTGCCTGCCAAAAGTCACTAAGTAAATCACACCACTGTGACACCCATTGCATTTCCAAAAGGGAAGGTTCAGATGGATTTGAAGAGGGGAGAAAAAGATAATGCAGCACAAGACTCCCACTGTGCATCTCACAAATTGCTAGAGAAAAAGATGCTACCACAATAAGGTGGTTCAGCCTTTCCACAGATTAATGAAATAAAACAGAGAGAGAAGGAGGAGGAGATGACAAAAAAATCTACTGCATCAGAAAAAACATACTAAGAGCCACAGAAAGGAAAAGAACCTGCAGCAAGCCTGGCAAAATTTGGGATTTATGTTGCAATGCCACGGCAAAAATTTAGCATAAAGTTTAATTCCCAATTTAACGCATCAGTTCTAAACAGTGTTATTAACAAAGAAATAAAGAATGTGGAGAGGAGAAGGGATTAGCATATACTGTATGTAGTTAAAACAGCTGCATACCCAGTTGAGCATAATATAGTAGATTAATCAGTGTATTCTACTCCTATTTCTTCCTCATCATCCCAAAGAAATCTACACACTATTCATTCATCTCTGACCACTTTTTTGCCTTACATGTTTTAAGTGATATTGGGGAAAGGATTTGCCATTATCTGAAATTCTGGTCCATTGAGCATCCCCAGTTCAGAAGAGCACCTGGGTTAAGATTAACAGCTAAGTGATAGGAACAATGTTCTGCCAAGCTCTGAACCACAGATCATTTGAACAAAACCTCCAAAGTCCTTGGGCAAAGACAACACAATGGATATAAACCTATGAGGGCTGCAGTCCCATACACACTTCCCCTGGGACTAAATGTTGGCCCAAGGCTAGCTACAGTATAATGCCTGATTTATTACTGATAGAATATTTATCTCCAGACCTTAGATTTTAGGATGGGGTACAGAGAAAAAAAGCAATGGGCTTTAGATAATGTGGGGTCTCAAAATAAAATGGAGCAAGCTAATGTTCTTGGTCTTCTTAAAAGTAACATCATGTAGCCTCCGCAACTCTTAATCTGTCAATGCTGAGGTAAATCCCACTGAATTCAATGAGAGTTTAATTACACTTCCATTGGATTGTGCTATAGGAAATTCATTTCTCTTGTCTTCACTGAAAATCACTTTGGGTCTGACAAAAAATTAGAAAGTCAGTTGTTTATTTATTTTATTTATATATCGCCCCATTAATGCACACACTACTCTAGGTGGGTTCATTATCCATTTTCATAGCACATTAGGTATACACAATAGCAGTTCCCACTCTTGAAGTATTAGAAGGAACATTCACACACAGCATTTTCTTATGAAGTTATTTGCTGCTGGTTTAAATGAATCATGTGCAGTGTCATATGTGACAAATACACACATGTTTATTTTGTTGGGTGAACGCTCAACAGAACCCCATTGTAGTTCATAGAGTATACTCTGTAAAACGGGCTCTAGCATGGTTCTTACATATATACACCTGTGTAAGGAAAACACCATCCACTGGGTAGCCCATATAGCCACCTCCATGTACGTCAGCCAATTTCTTCAAGGATACCAGCTCACAATTGTTTCCATATTCTAATCAAGATGACTTGGCTGCCAGAAGTCTCTCCTTTCAATGTGACATGGCTACTTTTAAAAGATTACAACTTATCCCAAAGCGACACAGTACACATGAGGGGGTGTCCTTGGTTTCACAATGCCATTTCAAAACCAAGACATTCCAGCCCCCCCCCCCTTTTGACATTTGGATCATTAGGTCACCTTATCCTGTGACTATTACTAGCCATGTTACCAAATGAAGTTTCCAAGCACAGGTCCTCTGATACTGGAATCAAGAGTGAATTTGTGCCCTCCCCAGCAAATGCAGCCGACTCCTTCCATATATCCTGCCGCACAGCATACTTACCACTCTATTCCAGGGTCCCAGTTCCTCCTGCCCTTGTAGCCCTCCCTGTGTGGTGCTCCCATTAGCCCTTCTTCCAGTTGTCCCTTAAATCTGACCCGCAAAAGCCATTTCCCAGAGGTTGCCCTATATTACTCTGGTCCCTAGACTTCTCCAGGACTTCCTGCCTCAGACCAGCTGAGTGCCTCCCTGTTGTCAATTCGCCAAGGGCTGTCCCACACCTCGCCCCGGAGAGATTTTTTTCTCTCCCTTACCCCTCTGACCTTGCCCTTCCAGTTTTGCCTTCTAAGCCCCCCCCCCAAAAAATTGCCCAGATTTCCTTACCGGATAGCCCCCAAGCCACCGCACATCTTGAGATCCCACTCAGGATGGTGACCCCTCAGCGCCCCGTTTCTTGCCCTCGGCACCTTCCAACTCTCACACACACAAGACACATACACACACATACATACATACCCCCCCCACACACGAGAGGCGCTTCATCTGCGGCACCACGTCCCACAGCCTTGATCCTAAAGCCGCCCAGACTTTCCCCCGTTTCCTTTCACGTTCATACTCCTGCGTTCACACTCCGGAATGGCGCCGACCCCCCCCAAAGACATTTCAGTTTTTTTTAAATGCCACGACCGCCTGCTGTGCGCTTGCCAGCCCGTCTCCGAGGTGCCCCCGCCGTCGTCACCCAAGCCTACACGTGACTAGTGCGGACCCCCCCCCCCCCGCCCCGCAGCACGGCCGCCGCTCCTTTCGCCTATGCAGGTGTAAACCCGCCCACCCCCTGCTTTCACAGCAGACCCTCCAGCACCCCTCATTGCATAGCCATGTATTATTTTGATGGGGGGTCCTCAGCGTCCACCACCGCACACCACACCTGAATGCCCCTCCATTATAGGCCCGCCCACGGACACACACATACATACACATACACACCCGCCTCGTCTCTCCCTGCTCCGACCAAGGAACCAGCCCGGGCTCTGTCACCTGTAGCCCGGCCGCAGCCTCCGCTCCTACGGCGCCCCGTGTCGGTTTTTCCGCCCGCCCGTCCTCCCGCGGCTCCGATTCCCCTTCTGCCACTCACGGTTCGAGCCGGTGCGGAGCGAGCGGCCGCCGCCACCAAAGGCGAAGCCGCGGCTGGGCAACGCGCGCACAGAACTCCGGGGCGCCATCTAGCGACCGAGCGAGGCAAGGGCAGCTCGAGCAACGAAGTTGAGCGAAGGCGTTCTCGGAAAGCGGAGTCCAGAAGCAAAAAAAAAGGTTCTTAGGTTTGGTGGGGGGGGACGATGCGCGGGTAAGGGAGCAGTGGAATGCTTCGAATTAAAGATTAGCCTCGGAATCTCTTTGCGGGCCACGATTCTGACCGGAGAGAGGTCAAACAATCTTAGATAACAACCAGCAGCCCTCTGAACACGTGCAGAGTGTGGAAGCTTTGTCTTCGGCACGTCTCCAAAATACCTCCAGACCGCAAGACGTTTAAATTAACTGAGCAACCGTCTAAAGGGCAAGTCTGCTTTTTAAGACCGAAAGTTACAGACTGGGACTCCGTGTCTTGAAGCACCAGGGATCGCAGGGGAAAGCGGTTTGCGCGACTCTGCAGAAGATCGGGCAGAAATCAGGAGGGGCTCCTGAAAATGCAGCGTCTGCTGAACAATTATCCTAGTCGGTTATCTAATCCAACCAATGATTCAGTGGTGGTGATTTAAGATAACTTAAAACTGATTAGTTCCCCCCCCCACTTAGCATATTTTAACGTATGTAATATTCAAATGAAGCAAGGGGAATTTGCCTCCAACCTCTGCTTTGCAGCACTTCTTTATGTGGAAGGGGGCTATAATTTATGGGGAGATCACCAGAAAAACACTGGTGTATATCCATAGACCTTACGAACTTAGTGATCACCCAAGATCGTCCACAATACAGTATGCTATTCCCGGTCACTATGTAAGGGTGTGAACGCTGGACAGTGAAGCAAGCTGTTAGGAAGAAAAAAACAGCCCTGGAGGGGCACATACTGTATGTCGAACGCTGGATTTACACCTCTGGATTAATCTTTACAGCAGATCTCCACCTCAAAATCAGAAGCCTACCATACTGCATTACAAAATCAGAAGCCTACCATACTGCATTACATTTCCGCTCAGATAACCAGGCTGGCTGGGGATGATGGCAATTGTAGTCCATCCCCTACTCACCTGGAGCAACAGGATTGAGAACACTACAAGGTCACTGAAACCCGATAAATCAATTGCAGCATCACATCCCCCACCCCCTTACCAAGAATGAAGTAGCTGACTAACACTTACTTTGATGACTATGAAATGGCATCTTTTTGCCCGTATTTCTACACTTGCATTTTTCCCTGAAGAGCAATATGACTGTTCCTTCTGCTGTTCTCTATAAAATGTATAAACAAATAGCTTTTTTTAAGGTTTTCAAACTGGAGGCAGCATTCCACCTCCTTATTTTTGGTGGCAATCTTATTCATGGCTGTGGCAGGAAGAGCGGCAACCGCTACACTCAATTTTGATTTTTTACAATTCCCCTCCCCACCCCCACGGTGGGAGCTGGTGCTTCACATTTTCTGACTAATTCTCAGGACCTGAAGAGCTTTTTCTTGCAATAGGGGAGGGGCCAACCAAGATCCACTCACACCCACCCATAAACTCTCACGCCCACCACTGGCGTGACTGCTTTTTTACTTTGTTTAAGTAAAATGAATCAAATGTGTTTTGTGGTTTTTTTTGTTTGTTTGTTTCAGAACAGCCACAAATCTTGCTCATATGATAATACAATACAGAAGCCCAGGAACATACCAAAGAAAAGAAGCAGGAATATCCCCTGGAATACCAGAAAAGGCAGGTCAAGGTGAACAAAGGTGACAAGACGGAAGTTCTGAGGGTGGGTGGCCCTGTGGCTCATGGCTTGGGTGACTCTCTCTCATTCGGGGGGGTGACCCTGGCCGCAAAGAGTGGGGTCTGCAGCCTGGGGGTACACCTGGATCCGTCGCTCACCATGGAAACACAGGTGGCGTCGGTAGTCCGTACCGCCTTTTTCCATCTTTGGCGGATTGCCCGGCTGCGACCTTACCTTGACACGGGGGCACTCACTACTTTAGTACATGCGCTCGTAATCTCTAGATTAGACCACTGCAACACGCTCTATGTGGGGCTGCCTTTGAAGCTGATGCGGAAACTTGACGTGGTGCAGAACGCAGCGGCCTGACTCCTTACTGGAGTGAGGAAATACCAACATATCTCTCCTACTCTGGCCAGGCGGCACTGGCTGCCCATCCATTTCCGCGCTGACTTCAAAGTGTTAATGCTTACATACAAGGCCCTAAACGGTTTAGGACCTCGATACTTGGCGGAACGCCTGCTCCCACCTAAATCTACCCGGATCACCCGCACGAGCCAGGAGGTGAGGCTGAGGACACGAAATTGGGCTTTCTCGGCGGTGGCTCCTCGCCTCTGGAATAACCTTCCTCCGGCGATTTGTGTGGCCCCTATGCTGGGCACTTTCAAGAGTCAATTAAAAACATGGTTATATGTTCAGGCCTCCCCTCCAGTCAATACTTAATTTTTTTCTTGTCCTTTCCTTTCCTTATTTGCTTATGATTGGATGTGTTCTGATTGTCTGTAATTTTTATGTTCAATTTTAAATATTTATTGGAAGCCGCCCAGAGTGGTCAACTAGACCAGATGGGCGGGATACAAATCAAATCAAATCAATACATACATACATACATACATACATACATACATACATACATACATACATACATACATACATACATACATACATACATACATACATACATACATACATACATACATACATACATACATACATACATACATACATACATACATACATACATACATACATACATACATACATACATACATACATACATACATAAAGCCCAGGAACTGGAAAAAGCCCAAGAATGAGAGATCAACCATTAGCTGGAGGAGAAGCGCCATGGGATCTGGGGACTATGAAAGAAGGCTTAGAGGAAGCAGAGGGGGAGGGAAATGAGGAAGAAGACAAGATGAACTGGTCCATTCAAACTGGCAACTGGGGAGGAGAGGAAGATGCCTGGGATGATTTGGTAGAAGATCCCAAGATGGAATGCTACATGCTACATGTTGAGATCTCAGAAGAATCTGAACCTCCTGAGGACCGGAAATACATATATCATCGTTGTTAAGGTGTATCCAACTCTTTGTGACCCCATGGACCAGAGCATGCCAGGCCCTCCTGTCTTCCACTGCCTCCTGGAGTTGGGTCAAATTCATGTTGGTTGCTTCGATGATACTGTCCAACCATCTCATCCTCTGTCATAATCCAGCGCATGTTAGCAATTTGGTCTCTAGTTCCTCTGCCCCTTCGGAATCCAGCTTGTACTTCTAGGAGTTCTTGGTGCATATACTGCTGAAGCCTACCTTGTAGGATTTTGAGCATAACGTTGCTAGCGTGTGAAATAAGTGCAACTGTACAGTAGTTGGAGCATTCTTTGGCACTGCCCTTTTTTGGGATTGGAATGTATACTGATCTTTTCCAACCCTCTGGCCACTGCTGAGTTTTCCAAACTTGCTGACATATTGAGTGTAGCACCTTAACAGCATCATCTTTTAAGATTTTAAATACAGTGGGGTCTTGACTTAAGAACGGCTTGAGTTAAGAACATTTTGACTTAAGAACCGCTCTCATAGGAAAATATTGACTTGACTTACATAACTTAGATTTGAGTTAAGAACTGAAAAAAACCACGTGGGAGGCAGGGAAAGTGCAAAATTTGAACTTTCAGTTAACTGTTGGCCAGTGAAAAGGGTGCCTGTCTGGCCCACTTGACTTCACTCTCCAGGATGTCTGGCTCAAGGTCAGCAACCACACTATCTGGGTTGTCCGGGACATCCAGATCTTTCTGGTATAATTCCTCTGGGTATTCTTGCCACCTGTTCTTGATGTCTTCTGCTTCTTTAAGGTCTCTACCATTTTTGTCCTTTATCATGTCCATTTTTTCACAAAATGTTCCTTTAATATCTCAAATTTTCTTGAACAGATCTGTGGTTTTTTCCTTCTATTATTTTCCTCTATATCTTTGCACTGTTCATTTAAGAAGGCCCTCTTTTCTCTCCTTGCTACTCTTTGGAAGTCTGTGTTCCATTTTCTGTAACTTTCCCTATCTCCCTTGCATTTTGTTTCCCTTCTTTTTTCTGCTATTTGCAAGGCCTCGTTGGACAGGCACTGTGCTTTCTTGCATTTCCTTTTCTTTGGGATGGTTTTTGTTGCTGCCTCTTGTATAATGTTACGAACTTCCATCCATAGTTCTTCCGGCACTCTGTCAACCAAATCTAGTTTCTTCAATCTGTTCTTTACTTCCACTGTGTATTCTTAAGGGATTTGGTTTAAATTATACCTGACTGGCCCAGTGGTTTTTCCTACTTTCTTCAGTTTAGGCCTGAGTTTTGCTATAAGAAGCT